TTTTACAACCACTTGTTCTCATATTTTGACATTAGATATTTCAAAGTTCAATAGACAAATTCCACATACCGAGAGAGACAAACGTTGTTAGAAGCAAACAAAGAGTGTATATGAACTGTTCGTAGATGACTAACTTTGAGTGTTGATGAAAGGTCATTGTACGATTCATATAAACAGTATTGTCAAGAGTATGGTTATATGGCAGCTTCTAAACGTAACATTCTTGGCAAATGTCAAAAGTCTTTTAGATGTTCAGAATGGCGTATATACAAAGAAAAATTTTTCTGAGTAAATTTAAAAAAAATATTTTTTTATCCGATAGAAAAAGATGATGAAATTCATCTCAGTAAAAGTGTCAGGACTTAAAGAAACTAGACCATTCGCTTATTTGAATGTTTACTTCTACCATTTTGAAAAGTCTTCATTTGACAAAGTTTGGAACATCGAGTTTAAGTTTGCTATTGTGACTAAAAATGGTGCGAAATTTGAAGACTTAGACATAGAAGGTTTGTTAACAGTCAAGAAAATTTTGACAGAAGGTTCTCAAACCTTAAAGAAGGCAAAGCATACAAACTTGTTATACCTTATGAACCAAAGAAAGCAGACGACTATGAATATTATGAGTCTAAGATAGTTGAAGTTCAAGGTAAATTGGGTAAAAAGATTTTAGAGTCTAAGCCAGTGTTTGCTCCTAAAGAGGAAGAGAACATTGACATTGACCCAGAAATGTTCTAAAAATAAAATTTTATTTTTACATGTCATATCTCACCTTCTCTGGAACTGGTTCAGGTTCTTTCTTCTCTTCTACTTTCTTTTCTTCTACTTTCTTTTCTTTCTTTTCTCTCTCTTCTTCTTCTCTGGTGGAGTTATGTCAAATTTGGCGCAACCATATTTATGTAAAAGTTCTTTGTCCTTTAATAGCTCTTCTATTCTGTTTTCTATTTCATCTTCAAGAACAGCGCATGTGTCTTCTTTGCATTCTAAGAACTTTTGTTGGACTTCATCTTTCCAATCGGCGTCATCTCTGTCAACAAGTCTGTCATTGACAAATTTTAAGACTGCTCTGCTTAATGTTTTATGGTTCTTGTCATATTCCCAGAAACAGAACTTTAGAACAAATTCACCTTTCTTGTTTACACTATGTAAGATTTTATGGTCGACAGATGTTTTGCTGTCGAAAAGTTTGTCTCGAATATAGATAGCGAAATCGCTAGACATTTTCAAAAAGATAAAAATTTTAATTTTTCTAAAAATATGTTAGAAAAAAAGTTTGCTGACATTGACAAGAAATTTGAGAATGTTTTAAATAAGAACAAGAGGAAGTTAGAAAATGCTCAGATAAAACCCATACATGACAAGTTCTTATTTGCTCAGAATGGTATAACAGGTCTAATTGCACCACCTGGGTCGGGTAAGACTTTCACTTATCTTAAAATGGCTGCACAACAACAAGAACTAGATGAGAAGAACCCATTCTATGAGTTAGTTGTTATTTGTAGTACTTCTGGTCAATTTGACCAAACCGTCAATTCGTTCAAAGATATTATAAAGAAGTCTAAGTTAGTATGTATAAAGGATACTGAGTTGTTAGATTGGATAAAGAAGTACCAAAGAAGAGTTTTGAAGTATAATGCTATAAATGAGTATATAAATTCGAAGTTTAAAGACCCAAATGAGGAAATGCAGAGAATATTAGAGAAGAAACACTTCAGAAACAAACAGAAAGAGATAGAATACATTTCGAAGAAATTGCAATCTTACGATTGAAGACTACCCTCACAGATGTCTTCTTATCTTAGATGACTTTGCTTCTCATCCTTTGTTAAAGAACAGAGAACAAGACATGTGTCGAATTCTTAAGAAGCTCAGACACTTTAACATCTCAGTTGTCATTTGTGTACAGACAGCAAAGAGTTTAAGTAAGGATGTTAAAAGAATACTTACTGATATCATACTTTTCCCTGGATTGTCCGAAGACGATTTCATGGAACTTATGAAAGAGTCCATGGCAGGTAAGTTTGACAGACATGAACTATGGGAGAAGTACAAAGTCATACAAGACCCTCATACTTCTTTCAGAATTCACATCTACGCGAACAAAGTTCAAATTGTAAAAAGTCAAGCTTGAAAAATAAATGGTTCATCTACCCTACTTGTTTGAAGTTGTCAAAATACTCTGTTATTTTTCACGATTTTCATGAGTTTTGGCTACCCCTGTAAAAGTCGGTCTAGAGAAATTTCATGAAATTTGGTCATTTTTTTCAGCAAAAATATATTTTAGGGTAGAAGGGTATATCTACCCCGTTTTCTACCCTCATTTCTACCCCAGTTATTTTATAAACGTTTCACATGGTAAACGTTATTTTTTAAATTTTGTGAAAACTCAACGGTTTGACACAAGCCCTAAAAATTATTTTACTCAGAATTTTGTTGCTGAATTCAGCAAAAATAATGTTTAGGGTAGAAGGGTATATCTACCCCGATATCTAACCTCTTTTCTACCCCAGTTATTTTATAAGCGTTTTACATGGTAAACATTGTGAATTCGTGAAATTCTAAACAATTTCGTAGCTTCTATTTCTTCTGTCAGTACATCGAATGTTTTAACAATGCCGAAGGTTTCTTTATATTTCTTCTTGACATCTGAAAGAAGGAAATCGTCAGCTGTTGGATAGTTTTTGTTTAGAAATGTCAACATGTCCATTTTATCTTCTGCTGGTTTCTCTGCCTCCCTCTTTAAGTCAGCATAGTCGTTTCTCATACGTTCTATCTCTTTGACGGAGTAGTTATATTTCCTCATTGCTGCTTTACATTTAGAACATTGTGGGTTCATTTTTGCGTTATATTCTGAAACCTTACCTGCTAGTATGACTAAGGCGTCAATTGCTCTCTTTAACTCAAAAGTTGCGGGTTTTATCTGTTCATTCCATATCTTACCTCTTCTATCTTTATCTCTTATCTGCCATACACATTCAGCAACTAACGAAACAAAGTTGTCGTAGGTCTTAAACTCCCCAGATTTGTATATGTCAGAGATGTTCTTATATACCATATCGCAATCTTTGTCCATGACTTTGTGGTTGCAATGAAATCCAAGAAACTCATAGTTAACCTTTCGTATGAACTTCTTTATTTCTACTGAGTCAGTTGCTTTGACTTCTATTTCATCGAATTCTGGAATAGTAAGCTTTTGTTGCTGGATTTCAGGCAATTTGGGTAAATGGTCGATGAGGTCCTGCATGTCATAAAGATACTGTTCATTTGTTTCATCTTTCGCACAACAGTCCAAAGTACTTGTTAAAAGTTCTTGCTTTATCTTCTGGATTTTTGTTTCGAAAGTATATGAAGAAGGAATGAAGCTTTTCATCTCTACTAACATTGAAGTTGGGTTCATGACTAACGAGTTTGGTGCTGTTGTTGCTAACATGTTCTTACAATAAAAATAAAAAAATATTTTTTTAAAAAAACCAACTTTATTTTTTATTTCGGGAAAACTCATGACAAATTCAAGAGGGTAGAAAAGAGGTTAGAAAAGAGGTTATATCTAACCTTCTACCCTAAAATATATTTTTGCCGAATTCATGAGTTTTGGTTGAAAGAATACGGTGGAGCCAAAAGTGGCTCGACCTCAAAACAAGCATTTTCTGTATAAAATTCATGAAAATTCAAGAGGGTAGAAAAGAGGTTAGAAAAGAGGTTAGATATACCCATCTACCCTAAATTATATTTTTGCTGAATTCAGCAACAAAATTCAAATTGTAAAAAGTCAACCTTGAAAAATGTAAGTGTTTAGTCTTAGTAAGATGGTAGCTTCTTAAAGCAAATACCATTGCTGAGTTTTATGTACGTGAAGAGAAGTACAATGAATTCAATTACGAGTACAATTGCAATGACAACTAAGGCAACTATTTTTGTCTTTTGCCAGCAAGGGTACTTCTTCTCTTCCAATGGTTCGGCAGAACTATACTCACTCATGAGAAATGCCAAAACGGTTTAATAGAAAAAGTGTTATTTTTTCATGTCCGAAGACTCGAAGGTGCAACACTTCCAAAATACCGACGAACTCAGAAGAGCAGCATGGCAGTATGTTCTTGACAACTTCTTTGAGTTCTCCAGGCACACCTTGGAAAATGCTGAAGAACTCCGACACAGAGAATTTGGAGAAATTGCACTCCAATACTACATTGACAAACAAAGGGTAAACAAAGGGTAAAATAAGACTAAAAACTTAACGTTTAAAAAGTGACATTTTTAATGAGCTCCGAGTCACCGAGAAAACTTGGTCAGATGTTAGCAGCTTACTTCCCTGAGGAGGATGGAAGCGTTACATACGTAAGGTTCAAAAACAACGAACCTGGAATTGCGTACCAAATTCGCAATTACATGACCATGGAAGAGTACGAAAGGTTTCTACAAGAGAAACCAGCTCTAAACAACTCAGAAAAGAAAGAATAAAAAGTTTAACTCGTAATTGTTTATTTTTTTACTTGTATGGGCAAGCTGCAAGAATGAAGTCGACTATCTCGGTCTTTGTCTTGACGAGCTGGACTGCTCTTGCGAGTACGTCTGTTTTGCGGTCTCCAGCTGGTGTCTGACCTTCGTAATTGCGCATGTTCTTGAGAGCTCCAACTGTAAATGGTTGTAGGATGAAGAGTCTCTCAGACTGCTTGAGGTAGTCTTCACGGTCACGAACCGAATCTGTGGTACGAGTCGAATCGGTCGATTTGAGGGAAGAGACTGAAAGCCTGTCTTCTTCCATTGGGGTAGTAGCATACTCTTTGCGTAAGCGGTTCAGACCTTCCTCGAACTCTTGGTCTCTCTTGGATTGAGATTGGAATTGTGGGGCAGGGTTTTGCATAAACATCCAAGGGTTGGGGAAGTAAGGCATAGGCTGAGGAGGAGGGTAGTTCGGGAAGCCTTGTGGTAGGTAGTAACCTTGAGGTGGAAATTGGTAGTAATTTGGTGGAGGGACTTGCTGGAACTGAGGTTGCTGAGGTGCAGGGGCTGGTGCTTTAGGTTCCTCTGGTTTGGGAATGGGCTCGGTTGGTGGTACGTCGGACATCTGTTTGTGGCTTAACCGTCGGAAGGAAAAACCTTTCCTGTCGGAAGGAAAAACCTTTCCTGTCGGAAGGAAAAACCTTTCCTGTCGGAAGGAAAAACTTTTTCTGAAGTTCGACCAAAAGTTCTCAATTTTCGAAAATTTGAATGGTTTACGGACGGACAACTGGAAGAGTCCTTCCTGTCGTCGGGAAAATTTTTTCCAGTTGTCGGGAAAATATTTTCCTGTCGGATGGAAGGACTCGGAATACCAGAAGGATTTGACGAGGCAATTTACCTTATAGAGATAAATGAAGTTGTTAAGCAGTACTTGCGCAGGGTAATGAAGCCCAAGGTCAAGTTCACCACTATTTCTGGAAGGTCTCCTTGAATCTCGAGACTTCGACTGGAATTCCAATTCAAATACCAGACGGGACAGCCTACGATGGCATAAAGGACGCCAAAAGAGAAGCTCTTGTTAAGTTCCTAAACAAACGTCCTTGGATAAAAATACCAAACAAGGAGAACCCCCTACCCCATATGAAATTGGCAATTCAGTCTCTCCTTCACTTCTCGGGTCAGCCGTTCTACATAACCTGTGAAGGCGACATCCAACCAGTTCAGTCAACCTTAACGTTTTGAGTAAAAACATTTTTTTTCATTTTTTGAATGAAGCAAGTTAAATTCGTCCCACACCAATCTCAATGGACCGATGAAGAGTTTCAAGCCATGGTTGAAGGCGTTGAGAACGACATAGACGGCGAACTTGAAGGAGCTCAAACCACAATTGCAACCAAAATTGCAGAAGTCAAGGAACAATAGCTCCACTTAAAGCTACCAAAGCTACTCTTGACCTCATGGATACTTACCGTTTAGAAGTAAAGAGTGGAATAAGACAATTAAAATTAAAACTTCTAAACTACGAAGCTATACTCCAAAAGTTAGCAGAAATGAGAAGACTTTACCAGAGCTACTTACATGTAAGGGACTTACCTTCAAGCAGTCCGACCAAAGATGAATTTTCTGACATTGTCCCAATTTTGTCCGAAAGTCAGCTCAGATGTTTTGAACTGCTCCCAACATATCCAGAATATGAACGTTTGCCTGAACTCTTCCGCAATCTCAAAAAACGTTTTTTGGTTCTCATGTTCGAAACTTTTATCGGAAGAGACAACAAACGTTCAGAAGAAGAACAAGATATTATTTTAAACTTGTTGTATGACTTAACCGTCATAACAAGCTTTTTGAAGTAAAACCGTCATTCTCAAACCACTTCATTTTTTCGATGTCCGAACAAGCACCGAAGCCGAACACAATGGCAGATGTCCTTTCAATGTTGCCAGACAAGCGCCCAGTTCAAATTCAAATTTTGAATTTGAAAGCTCATCTGACAAACACCGTTAAGACTCTCCAAAGTAGTCTTATGGAAGAGATGACCAAGCTCAAAGCCGATGTCCTCATGAACCAAGCTTCCAATGAGAAATGCCTGAATGATTTGACGGAAACCTTGCGCAATTACGAGAGAGAGAACCGAGACCTTGCCAGACTCATCTACCGTTTCTTCGAAGAGATAGACGCCATCTGGAA